AGCAGAAATATTCTTCTAGCTCTAAATAGCTTTGATATTATGAATAACCTATTGAGCTCTAAGATCTTATTAAACCACAAAATGAGGCCTTACTGCTTTGACTGAAGTGCCACCAAGAAATTCCAGCCACAGGTCGCTGACCTGTAAATGAAAGGTCCCACGCAAACAAGAACCAAAAATAAAGAAAAATCTCTCAAAGAAACAAAATGAAGGCCAGCTCAGTTTTTATTTTTATCCCAGCCTTTAACAAAGGGCTGCTCTAACAAGGACCCTCTCCCACCAGGTTTAATGCAGCGGTTGTGTTTTGTACCAGAAGTGGCGATTCGAAAATCCTTCACACAATTGCACTTTCCTGTTATTTGAGAGGATCTGGCAGATAAATAAAAGGTTCTCTTCCCTGATGAGTTTTTCAAAGCTGTTTAGATACGTGTAAGCACCCGGCAGGTTTGATGGCTTGCAGCAGCTTTTCACATGGACAAGAATTAAGATCCCCACTCGTATAGCTCAGTGGTGCTCCATCAAAACACACAGTACAAGCATCAGGAGCAAGACAGTGCCTTGCTGACCTACTTACTGCTGTCTCAGGGCAAACTGCGTTGCCCTTCGTTGTTCTTTATTCTCTGCACCACCAGGCAAAACCTCTTCCCATATTCTCAGGAAATATGGAAGCAGAATTGCTCAGTTATCATTTCAGAGTACTGCTGTCACACACCCAACTGCTCTTCTTGCACTGGAGTACAATGAGATCAGTACAAAAGTGCCTTGGTATTCTAAACCACTGTACTAACTTAAATTAACTTAATCTAAACCATGCCTGCTCTGAAATATCTTCCCTTTCTTAGTAATACTAATAAGGAGCCAAACTGCACAGACACTGTGGAGACAGCTTTAGATTTAATACAGTGCATTTAAATTAAATGGACCTAACACACTGCTTTCTTTCCCTTTTCAGGTCTCATCTTTCATCTGCAGGTTCCGTGGTTGTTTCAGCCTTGATAGAGTTAGAAACATTGACAGCTCAAATAAATAAATATTTTAAACATGCAAGGCAAGCCTACATCCCAAGGGAAATATCTGAGCTTTTCCAGCGTTCAGATTTGATTATTTATGCAGTTAAGTAAGAAAGGAAATTGCTAACAAATCTTTGCATTGGTTTGGCATCCTGTTCCAACCTGTCTTTTCCTGCTCTAGCCCCATAATGGCTAGCTGATTAGGCGTGAGGAAGAATAGCTTCGTTTTACGCACTGCGCACAAGTGGGACTTGAAACCAGCTTCCCAAATTCCCAGTTCTGCCAGAGACATCAGACAAAAGCACAGACAAGTCTATTCCTCAGCATGAATCTCTATTCCCCTCCATAAAAAATGGGAAACAGAGATCCTTCCTTTCACTTTTGTCAGACCATTTTAAAGGCATGGTCTTCGATGCAGTGGCTACTTCACACTGCAAAACTCTTCTCACAGACATACACACCACCCCATTGGAAGCTTGTTTATGTTTTGTTCATTTTTAATCTCTCATACAGAGATCTGGTTCCTTGGTGCAGTGCACACTTGCTCTTCTGACACTGTTGACAGAACAGGAGGTTAAAAAAACAAACAAACAAACAAACAAAGGGAACCATTCTGATACAGGTTTGATAGGACAAGTGGTAATGACTTTCAGCTGCACTAGGGAAGGTTCAGGTTGTATATTAAGAAAAAATTTCTTCTTGGAAAGAGTGGTGATGCATTGGCACAGAATGTCCAGGGAGGTGGAAGAGTCTCCATCCCTGGAGGTGTTCAAGAACCTTGGAAACGCAGCACTGAAAGACTGATCAGTAGGCATGGTGGGATGGCCTGGGGTTTGACTTAGCGATCATAGAAGTCTTCTTCAATCTTAATGATTCTAATAAAGCCATTCTACACCATTTACTGTTCACACTTTAAAGCAGCATCAGGCCTCATACTTGGACAAATCCCATCTGTTAGAATCAAAAACCAATACTGATTATCACAGACTGTTGTCTGCAGTCTTCCTTCTCACTTCTTGATGGCCGTCTGCTTTACCCCCACTGACTCTTCCCGGATGAGGGAACAATCCTTTAAGCTTCCAGCACTGTATTCTTGTCATTTGTACAAGGCACAAACCTAGCTGAGAGCTATAAAGAAGGCTTGTGAGCCACTGAGACTCACCTTTATTAACCCTAGGAAATGTGCAGATCAGCCTAAACGCCTCTGTTAAAATAAAACACGTGTTGGCCGTGTGCATTGGATTGCTCCATTGCCATTAAATTTGTCTCAGCTCCTTCTCTCTCAAACAGCACTTACCCTTATCACTAGATTTGCCTAGGAGCCCTGTGTGTATTTTGTGCTAAGAAATTTTGCCTCAATCACTTAAAAATTAGTCCTTTCTTCCCCTTGAATACTTATCTGCTCATGTTTATGAATAAGTCACAGCCATGAAGAATTTACTGGCATCAGTGAGTGCCTTCTGCTTATGTTGTTTTTCTTTTCGGATCTTAGAATTCTCTCTGTTTGAAACATTTGTTCCGTAGTTTTGCAACTTGCAGGGAAATAAATTGGAGGGAATGTAAGCAGATGAATGTATGCCCATATTAATCCCAGAAACACAATGGCACTTGGGTGCTTATATTGAGATTGCTTCTAGACATCATCTTGAAAATAGTCCTGGAGCAGCTTATGCTGTTATCGTCCCCTGCTGCTTATTACCACCGAACAGTGAGAAGCTTTCACACTGATAGCAGAAGCAACCTGAAAGTGCTACTTACACAGCTTAATGAGAAGCCAGTTCTCTTTGTTTAACCTATTGCTGAAAAATCTATTTAATTTAAAATTCCCTAACCATGCACTGATGTAGACAACATACCCACACGTGGCTCCTGCTCTCAAGTCTACATATTATGGTATCTTTGCAAGACTGGAGCAGTGACATCTCAAACAGCCTTAACTACCATAAACACAACCACTTCTTTCCAACTTCTTAGCTCATATTTTTCAGCTCAGAACTTCTGCACACACTTTTCAGCTATGAGGTACTTAGCCTTGCTAACGTGCTTGGACCAACATGTGCAAAACAATGCACACGTACAAATTCTTAACGTGGAAGACCCATCTCCAATGTCAGTATGCCAACTCTGTCACTTCCAACAGACACCCACAAGTTTAAAGCAACCAATGATGTAGCAACCAGTGTATTTAGAAAAATGATATTTGAGCAAACAAATTCAGACAGGTACGAGGACAATTTTCATCTATTGACTTCAATTATTAGGAATTTAAACGTAGTTAAAAGTAACTGAGATGTCAACCTCAGGTTTGGTTTTTCACTTATCTTGTATTCTGACAGAAACATAAAAATAAAGCCAAGAAAAGAATGGAATCAGCTCAGTAGTTTTAGGAGTTACAATCATTTCTATTTGCCACTTTCCATGATATTTTTGGGCACGTTCCATAATTTTTAATAATGTATATTTTTTGGCTGTACTTATAAGGATGTCAGAAGGTAACAGGCTGAATTTGTTATAATGCAAATCTGACACCTGAATAGGAACACTGAAGGATTCTGCCCTTTAAAATTTCAGGAAAATAGCAGCAAATTAGAACTGACAGGATGTTACTTTGATCTGACAATCATGACTGTAACTCACATTGAATATTGAATACTGGTTCTTTTTTAGTTCCAAAAAGAGTGGATGCACAAACTGCATAGTGTGTATCTCATCATGTAACAACTGACACCACCAATAAGCCTCCTGAAAGTAAAGCTGTTTGGAAGAACTACGTATTATTTTGCTTTATTTTGACATCCACATGCTCAACCGAATATTTCTGAAGATATATTAAGAATTCACGTGCACGGGCAAAGATGGTAATCTGTCACTCACCGTAAGAACTGTATCTTCCATACAAATATTTCCCTTCCTGGTGCAACAAAAGGAAGTGGGTTGAAGCAAGAAGAATTTTCCATTTGCAGTTTCTATATTCTGTGTGCTTGATACCAGGTTGTTTTCAGTTGATAAGTGATAACTCTATGCAGCGTTACATTACTAAAGACTGAAATGCCATTTTCTTTTCATTAAACATCCTGAAATCCGCCCTCCTCCTCACTGAGTGGGGGGGAAATATTACCAAAAGAACTACTACAATGTCAGAGACTACAGCAAGCTCTAGGTTTTTGAGTTCCTCACAAGTAGGATCTAGATGAAATTCTGGAAATGACGTTTTTGTGTTTGCAAAGTACTTACAAAGGCAAAGATTGCTGTTTGTTTTTAAGGGAATTTAAGTCACAACATACAAGCGTGCACACTCAGATTATACATTCCAGCCCTGGTATTTGTGCATCATCACACCTTACATGATCAAACACTCCAAGTTTGTCTCTTGCTGCCATTACAAGGATACTGTTGCTTCCCATTCCCTCCAAAGGTTTGATCCATGAATGCAGATAACTGGAAATCTATCAACAAGCCTTCCTACAGCAACACTCCAACTTGCAGAAAGAATGGGTCATATGCAACAACAGTAGCAGAAATTAACAGGACATCACAAGGAGCTGATATGCTCAGTCCAGTTGCCTCCGAAACCTTGAGCATATTTGAATTCAGTAAAACCCAGAGACCCACAGGAAAAATAAATCTACACGGCCATAACGCTTCAACCAAGTCATAGTAAATGCCTGTCATTCAATGAAATTTTACTCAGCCAGCCATAAAGTGGTTTAACTTTACTTTATCCTCCATCTCACAGTGTCATTCTTACCAGCACAACATTACAATGAACTGCCACAGAGATGATCTGCTACAATTTTATGCTTTCAGCCACCATGCAAACCTTCTTTTGGGAGAACTCCCACAACCAGCTTCAGTATCGACACAGAATGCTTTCTCTCTTTAAATCTATGCTGTCATACTTTCACACAGGAACAGAAAAAGACCAAAAAAAAAAAAAAAAAAAAACCCCAAAAAACAAAAAAAATCACAAATATGAAGTTGTACACTTACCACTTTGACTCATGCTTATAACAGGCTGATGTGATATTCAGCATATAGACAGATGGCAGAGCAGCTTCTGGGATTCCAATGGAATGGCATTGCCAGGTAGAACTACCAGGGTTCTTGCTAGTTGGAACCTTGGGATATGCCCACAATAATTCTGGAGCTCTCATTCCAGCTGAGGCAGTGACGCTCCTGCCATCATCACCTCCCTGTGTGACACAGTAATTCTTACTGTCATCTTCTCACTTCTTATGAAGATAGAGGTAATTACTCTTGATGAATAAAAGTCCTTATCGTTGCATGAAGCAACCTCTAATAGTTTCCCCAAGGTAATAGCACTGTGTGTCTATACCTCCATATATTTCTGGAGAATTGAAAAGCCATAAACATTACAATTGCTTTGATAATCTTTCTATACAGCTCCTGAAAGACAGAGAACAAAGAAGAAATTCAGTGTGGTACTTCAACTGGCAGACATCACCATTAAAGCATTCCCACTTATTTACAATTGTATCAATCAGGAAACAGCCTTCATTAGTCAAAATCTGTTTGTCATCCTGGAGGATAACCTTGTCACGTTCCACTACAGAGCAAAAAGCCTTTGGTGAGAAAAATGCCCTAATAAAGACCAATGCAACTTTTGGATCTTCCAGTGTTTTTTCTCCTCTGCAGAACACTTCCCAAAGAAAAGCTAGCATCCTCCATTTGCAACATATGACAGCCAGCTATCCACATGGTGCAGTTTATGTCATTATCTCTTATTTCTCGATGGATTACATTCTTACAAGGCACATCAAGAAGTTTTATCAGGTAATGGCAAGAGTAGTGCGGTAGTTTCTTGCAGTCCACGAGGCCATTAAAATAAATCCTTTGGGTTTCAAGCCTTAAAAGCACTGTATCTCCCTCTAGTGCCTGCTAAACTTACAGGATTATGATCTGCTACTGCTGCCAAGTGATGCATCCCCTTTACACTTGATGCTTTGGAAGGGGCAGGATTCAGAACTTCTGGTAGCAAATAACTCAAGATAACTCAATAATTCCACGGGACAGGAGCAGTTAAGTTTTCTGCTACGTATTCACCAAAAAGTCAATTTCAGAAGTGAAAATCTCAAAACTGACAGAGAATATCTTTTTGACATTGTCTGGTGCGTCCTTACATTCGCTGCATTGCACTGATGCCAATCAGTCCCAACTCCCATGACTGTACCCTTCTTTCACCTCTTCTGTGCTCTCTCCAAATGTAGAGACCACGATGAACAAAGTAAGCTCTCCTCTCTCGACCAAGAGCTGTTCAGTACTTTATCACCTCCCCCGTGGATCAGTGTGAGGTCCTACACCTTATTTACAGCATATTACTCTAAACCTTCCCCGAAGACACAATTAAGCTCCTCACAGGGATTTTTATTGCTCTCAGCACTCTATTTTTGAGTTTTTCAGAAACAATTTATTTTTCACAGCATCTCTAAGAGATAAAAGACATAATGTCCAGATGACTGGCAGCAAACTGAGAGAAAGAGGTCCTTTGTGGTCAAGGGAGACCACTAACTTCAAGTGTTTAATTTCCAGTGCCTGGGATCTGATATAGGCAGTTAACACTTGCTCAGACCAGGGTTTTATACTGTTTTCAAGAGCAACTCTGACTGCTCAGCAGTTCTCCGCTAGAATATGCAAACCAATAACATTTTTACTGTATGAATGAAGCTGCACGTGCCAGGAGAGAAATCTTTAGTAATGTAAGTTCTCCCACAGCCAGTATGCATGCTTACAAGCACACTAACTCCCCAGAGCAGTTTATTTCAATCAGTACGGGCACTGCCATAAGATAAAATTTATCCCTATGAAGAGATATAAGACTCATTCGGTTTCTATAAGCGAAGTAGACCTTATTTTTGAGGTTTTAAATGGTACTAAACCATGTGATGACATTTAAGACAGTTTTATTTGTGCACTTGATTAGGCTACTCTCCATTCAATCTTTGCATCTCCTGTTCTATATACAAAACGTAAACGTTCTGAAACTGTTACTAATTTGAATGCACATTTAAACAATATCCTGCTGAATTGTTTGTTCTCCCAGTGAATATATTGAGCTGAGACCAACTTGCATCTGCAAACGCAGGTATACAGATAGCACTGCACCTGAAAGACAAGGAAAGCACTAAAACTGATCACAAACAGTTACTAATAGAAATTGAGAGAGGCTGGAGAAACCAAGCAGATTTTAGCCAAATTATTTGGTAATCCTACACAATTAGTAAGTCTGCTTAAGAGAATAACTATTTCTGTTTCCAAGGCAGCTGGCAAGGAACACTTCTTTGCCTTCCTGCCTTATTCAAGACATCGCTGCACACAGAGATCCAGCTTTTCAGAATGAAGACACAAAGGCTTCCAAGACAACAGAATGGCTATTTCCAGCATTCGCCTCACTTCTCAGTCACAGCAGCTGCCCCTAAAATCCAGAAGCTGTTGTGCATGACGACACGTGTGCACAAGGCAGGTATAAGCTCCTTATCTGAACTAAACCAGGCAGAGATATGACCCTATTTTGCAGAAAAGAGGTCAGAAGATTGAATAATTTGCCCTGAATAACAATGGAGCGTGTGGGTGGCTCAGGTCAACTTTCAGACCCTTGCATCAAGCCCTTGAACTCTGCTATTCCTGTGTGACTTTCAGTTGAGGAAACTGAGCTGGTGGTATAGGTGAAAAAAGGACTTTGTTATGGTAAACTATCAACACCAAGGAGCAGAAAATACTGGAGGAAAAGTATCACTGAGAAATATTAACAGAGAAAGCTAAATCAGCATGGATTACTAAAGCAATTGGGCAGATCAATATAATGAAAAATATGTTAAAACAGAGGTGTGATGACAGAAGGACCCGCTCTACTGAAAAGTGCTATAAAAGAAGGGAAGAAGATTGCTGACCTGTATCAGAAGACACCAGCTTCACAAGGGAAAACTTCCAGATTCTTCCATAAAGAGATCTTTCCCCTGTGGCAATCAGCCCTTAAGTGAGGTCTAAGAGAGCCAGGTTCCACCCTTTCTGGTCACACAGCTAAATTGCCTTCACCTGTGTTCTCAGGGCTGACCTGATCCTTTCCCCAGGTGATCAATCAGTGGTTCAGGCCATGACTCAACATTTCCCATACAATTCCTACTGCGTGGAATACATTTTTGTCAGTGGGGAAGAGTTACTTGTGTGCAGCTCACTTTTGGTTCTGTTTAGATTCATTGTTCACGTCCATTTTAATTGCAAAGAACTCGCATAAAAGAGAGCAGCAGCCCTGGGTTCCAACTCTAACCAACTTCTGCTGTGGAATCATCTCCCCTCACAGAATTTTCTACAATTGTCTGTGCCCCTTCCGAAATACAGAGTTTGTTCAGTGGTGAACGAGCCTCCTCCAATCTAGTGCTCCACTGAGCCATAACCAGGAAGCACAGGCCTAATGCTCTACCTAACCTAACAGGATTTCAGTTATTTATAGCTTTTTTGCCTTCCAACTTGCAGGCCCTGATGTATGATACTAAGCAGCACTCCACTCACCCAGCATCCTCAAAACGCATATCATCATCACCTTGAAGATGATGATTCTGTCTCATGGACTCTAGCAGCATTCCAATATCCTTTTCCCCACTTCATGCAACATCATGAGAATAGCGTGAAATCTACTGACATGGGAACAAAGTGAAGAAACCAAAGACCACCATTTATCAGTATATTCCATATTTCAATATAAAACTACAAGAAAGCAGCTGGCCAAAAATCATGACCAGACAGCCAACATTCACAAACAGAAGTTAAGATGGTTCCATGCCTCAAGCTTCTGCCTTCTTTTTTTTCTGTAACTCGCCCACCCAGGAGGAAGAAGCTGGTCTGTCGTCAACCTCTGCTCTCCAAACTTCCTCAGGTCTAAGCTAACAGCACAGTTGGAACTCACAGCTCAAAAATACCGAGCTCTGCTCACGTTTGTACAGCTGAATTAACATCTCATTCATAGCACCACAGGAGAGACATGAAAACGGCATTCAGAGCTGTAATCATCTGTAGAGCAAGCATTAAGGGAATGCTGGGCAAAACCACTCCACACATCTAATGCAAGGACAGCTACATTTCTCCTGTTATGTTGCATCACATTGGAGCTACATTAAATTCAAGATGTTTTCACATTTGGGGAACTCTGGCTTGCAGACCAAGGATTTGGTTGCCTATTTTAGTTTGGTACAAAAATGAACAAACTCTGCTGCGACAAGTGGCCTGAAACTGTGTTCACTGAGGAATCGTTAATGTGCTCCTGAAACATTTCTTCAAATCTTCATCCTCTTGGGCCTCCAAGACCGCGGGTGCAGTGGAAGAAGCCTTCATGTCTATGCTGTGTTCCCAATCTCCTGTCTCGCTCCCCTCTGCCAAAATGAATCAGTCAGCTGAGAAAGCAGCAAAGGACGAGGACAAAAGAGAAGAGCCGCATTCCTCTTTGTAACAGCCTTCTGGTGGAAGTAATTTGTGCACAGGCAAACTGGAACAGGTCACAGTAAATCACATCTTAAGCTCATTTCTTCTGGCCCAGATCTATCCCATTATGTTCTGCATCTCAGCATCAAAACCTTATCAACAGCATGTTGTAACCCAACAGACTACGAGCTGTGAGCCCTTTGCTAGCATGGCCTCATACCTCCACTTAATTTGCACAGTCACTCACAGCTCTGAGTTCACATGGTTTGAATAACAGATTTGAGAGCTGCTTGGAGACCAGGTAGGTTTGGCCTCCTCTGTAATGAGCACTGCAATCATCTCCTCAGAGCAAAACTTTGCACTCAAAGCTCGTGTGCTAACCAGCTACTGGAATTTCACAGCCCATGCAGATGGGGTTTTCTCACCTGCTTTTTCATCCTATGCAGACCCACACATGTGCTGCCAAATCAATACAGCAATGGCATAGCAGAGAAGCTGAAGCATTTCTTCACCCTTAAAAGCAGCTGTAATTCACACTGCTCTGCCAGGGGGGAAGAACATGGCTTTGAGGGCTTTTCCTACCCTCTCCACCTGCTATCACCTTCCCCTCTGCCCCAGGTGAGGCCAATACCTCTGGGCCTTTACACAGCAGGAGTTGCTTCAGCCAAGTTCACCAAAAGTGAGGATGAAAGCTTAATTCTGCTGTTTCTTCTGCATTCTCTCAGCCCTCAGCTGTTGTTCTCCTCTCCCCAAACCACTCCTACCCAGCTCCCACCACTTTCCTCTTTCAGCAGTTCTACTGATAAAAAACAACTGTTTATACCAAGTTCATCAGCTGAGAGCTTGAAACCATTAACTGTGGGGGTGGGAGGGACTGTGGAATTTGTGAGGCAGATTGTTCAGCTGGCAGCCTGGGGGAAGGGTTGTTTTCTCCATGCTCTGCCTCCCCAGCCAGCATGGGGATGGCTTG